CAAACAAGGAGTTACGTCAGATGATCTCCCTAGCCTGAAACTTTCTGAAGAAGCTTTTTTTAAGCTGCAGAATCCATCTACTTTCAGCAGTAAATAGAGTTGTGTTAATTACACACCAAACTCTTGTTCAAAGTTAATTAAAAAGAAATCAAAAAAGTCATGGCAGATCCTAGTTAGACTGAGGGACACAGACTTGCACAAATGATAGGGAGATTTAGGAGTTACGTTAAGTCACAAGAAAGTTGTTAAGGCATTATTGCTAACAAGATTACCAACTCTTTATGCTGCCAAGACACTTAGGAAGAAAAAACCGCTGTCTTAGACAAAGCAATACAAACTCTGTGTGTTTTCTAAGCTACGGCATACTTCTACCTGAGCCTATATTAAACAGTTCCTCTTCAATCTATATAGTCACATGATATTAAACCTAGCCAAGAAAAAGCAGAGCAAGCTGATTTTAAAAATGGCAAATTTGCCAGTTTTGACTTCTATTCACTGTGTACCTCAATTCTCCAGTCTAGCAAGGATGCCAGCTGCCAAACCCCTTTCACTGTTGTCTTCTAGAACAACTTTTGTGACCATGCAAAAATTTTCTATCTGGATTTTCTATGCAACAGTGAGTCGCATAGCAGGACACCAGCACAGGGCACTGCTGTGCCAAGTACTACATAAATGTAAAACAAAATGGTTCCTGCTCTGAAGAGTTCACCGTGTGAGGAAGCTTGTTCTACTCAGTCCTTATATGTCTAACTAACTCCACTCTAATGTCTGCTAGAGCCTTCTTAAAAACTTTTTTTCCAAGTAAAAAGCTCCCCATAACAAAACCCAAAAAAACCCTCTCTCATATTAAAATCAACTGTCTCTTAATCATACACCATCTAACCTGCCCATATAAATGCACAGTGTGCTAAGTTATGAGTACCCTCTTTTGTTTGTTTGTTACAGTTACTATTTATTTTGAGATTTCACAGACAAAAAACCACATTAATATCTATCCCAGGAATGTAGATAAGTGCACTCAGACAAGTGTTTAAAAGAAGAAAAACATAAAATCAAACCATTAATAAACTCCTACCAGGTCAGATACGTTTGTAAAAGAAAAATGGTGTAAGAGCTTACTTGGTCATAAAAATGATACTTTAAGCAACAAATCACTCATGCCAATCGACTGACAGAATACCATTTGGGGAATTATAAAAGAAATGCAGAAACAAGTACTGATGTTCATGATTTCAAAGTGAAACAAAACAGTATTAGTAGTTGAAATGTAAAACGGAAGGAATGAGATTGATCTTAAATATGTTGTGATTGTGACATCCAGTATAATGTTGCCCAGATTCTGACTTCTAATTGCTAATGTAAACTTAACTCTGGCACAACAGAACACATTGCAAGCCCTAGATTAAGTCCTAGAATACAGCACAAACACTGTATAAATATGCCTGAAGATTAAGCTCTTTTTTGGTGCAGGATTTAATTTTTCCGTTGCCGAAGACCTTACCTATCAGTGATTATTCTGATCCTGATGTTTGAATTCAGACTAACATCCTCCCTTCTCTTGCACGCTAACGGCTAAACTGCCTTGGACAGGCAATGTAGCATTAGCCTCTTCAAACACAGAGGAGATGTGTGAATGGAGTTGTTTCTTACAGGTAAGGGGTTTTACCATCAGCTAGGACAAATAAGCCAAGGAAAGTTACTTTCCGTGAGTGACTACATAAAGGGACTAGTTAATTTGCTTATCCTGTGAACTTGTTACACACAAATATACTTTAAGACTGCCCTTCCCGGCCAAATATGCCACTTGTTTTACCAGGTGGGCATGTTCCTGAAACAAGATTTTATGTATTTATCTTCACAATATATTTGGCACCAGGAGATCAGAAAACTTCTATCTCATTTTGCTTTCTGGCAATGAGAGAGAGAGTTAATTTAATTTCCATAAGACAAAGACATGGCATTCTGCAGGTTCATGTGTTACACTGAACAGTTTGTGGACCAGTGGTCCATACTAAGATGGGCTTGTAGTATGATAAGAAGCAGATAGGCATGTCTCACTCTAGACAGAGGATTTTCTAGTATCCAACTCACTAAGAACAAGTTAGTTATTCTTCTGTGAGGTACATCTGGAAAATTTTCCATACATGAGAACCAGTGGTCACCACCAACCATCACGGCAACACAAAACCAGCTGGTGAAATAGCCAAGAATAGACCCAGTCTATGCACTTCCACAGTGGATTTTCTTGCTGAACATAAGAGGAGCAAAGTCATACCAAAGAAATAAAAAATGGCTTTGCAAGATCTAAGCCCATTAATGTGAGCTAGGTCTGCTTGCTCTGAATTCCTCTCCTTCCCCACAGACTCAACCTTCTTTCAGCTGAGGATGACTCTAGGGGATTATCTCCAGAGCCCATTA